GTCCTTCTCGAAGGAGGCAGAAAAATTAGGACTCTGAGATGTGGTTCGGTGTTGTCATTAGGCATTTCGTGTTGCATTTTATAAATCATGTGAAATATGTTTCTATTTATGTGTTTATTTTTGTTGAAATATTTTTAAACAAAGGAGAATGTACACATCCCAAAATTTGATATCCTGTTTACAGTAGTTTCTTTAGGCTACATCCTAGGATTTCCATTTTTGGAATTGTCTTTAGAATCTGGGGGCACATTCTTCGGTTTTATTCAAAGATATTAAATATTAGCCTTTTGAGGATGAAAAAGACAAGTGTTAATAGTGGGTAGTATTTTTAAAATAGCTCTTTGTGATATAATTCCCCCATTTGAAGTGTATGGTTCAGTTGTTTTTAGTTTATTCACAGAGATGTGCAACCATTACTATAATCAATTTTAGAACACTTTCATTACTCCAAAAAGGAAATTCTTTTTTTTTTTTTTTTTTAATTTCTAGGAGAGAGAGAGAGACAGCGTGAGCAGGGGAGGGTCAGAGAGAGAGGAAGTCACAGACTGAAACAGGCTCCAGGCTCTGAGCTGGCAGTCAGCACAGAGCCCGACGCGGGGCTCGAACCCACGAACCGGGAGATCATGACCTAAGCGAAAGTCGGACGCTTAACCGACAGGCGCCCCCAAAAAGGAAATTCTTATAAATTAGCTGTCACTGTCTATCCCCCATCCTATCCAACTTCCTACTCACTAATCAATCTCTACAGATTGGCCTATCCAGCGAATATCATATAGATGGAATCATACAATATGTGGGTCTTTGTGGCTAACTTCTTTCACAACGCTTTATATGGTTCATACAAGTTGTAGCGTGTATCAGTACTTCATTTTTTTGGCTAAATAATATTCCGTTGTATGGATATAGCACAAGTATCTTTTAAACTTTAAAACCTTTATGAAAACTTTATGTTGTTTTATAAGTTTTCAATTATTGTATATTATGTGTTATATGACTATATATTTGTATATGTCATATAAATATATACTATTTATGTTAATTTGTATATTATATAAATATAAGTATATAAAATACATGTAATAGGTTACTTCTGCTTTTGTTTTGTCTTGGTTTTCTACTACAAACAATGTTGCAATAAGCATCCTAGTACCTATATCCTTATAACTGATTGTTTTATTTCTTTAGAATAGATTCCCAAATGTGAGATTTTTAAATTAGATGGTATATATATATATGTGTGTGTGTGTGTGTGTGTGTCTTGATATATAATTGTTTTTGAAAGCTTTTAGTCATTCATACCCCCATCAACAATATTTGAAAGTCAGTTCCGGAGATCTCATCTATTCTACCCTGTTTTCTCTTCCATTGAGGTACTAGTCTCATTAATTTTTGCTAATATGATAGATGAAAAATGGTATATCTTTGTTTTAATTTGCATTTTTAAAAACTACTACTGAAGTTGAGCATCTCTTTACCCATGTGGTGCTCTGTGCTGATAGCTCAGAGCCTGAAGCCTGCTTTGGATTCTGTGTCTCCCTATTTCTCTGCTCCTTCCCTGCTCACGCTCTGGTCTCTCTCTCTCTCTCAAATATAAATAGACATTTAAAAAAAATTGAGAGGAAGGTAGAGATTTCCCATTTACCCCACATCCCCACATCTGCATACATGTGTAGTGCTGTTTTTTTTTTAAATCACTGACACTGCTTTTTCTTTATGAATTGTGTATTTATATAGTTTATATTTATATTGAGTTGTTTACCTCTTATCAATTTGTAGAACTCTTTTTATGTTTGCTATAATATATACCACAATCTTGTCTGTCATATTAGTGGCAGATATTTTTCTCATGTATTACTTTTTTTAACTTTTAAAATTCTATCTTTTGCCATCTGAGAATTATGTTGATCTTTTCTTATATTGCTTCTGAATTTCCTGTCTTGCTTAACAGAAAATAAATATGATTTAGTTTATGTAGAATAAGAAAAAAATTAGGTGTGAGGAAGTAAAAAGGTATGAAAATGAATTTTTTTAAAGCTAGTTTCAAAAAAGAAAAAAAAAACATGGAGCTGTGGCTTTAAGTGTTGTTAAAAATAAGCAGGGGTGCCTGGGTGGTTCAGTTGGTTAAATGGCTGACTTTGGCTCAGGTCATGATCTCACGGTTCGTGGGTTCCAGCCCCGTGTCAGGCTCTGTGCTGACAGCTAGCTCGGAGCCTGGACCCTGTTTCGGATTCTGTATCTTCCTCTCTCTCTGACCTTACCCAGCACATGCTGTCTCTCTCTCTCTCTCTCTCAGAAATAAATTAAAAAGCGTTAAAAAAAAAATAAGCAAAGCCAGCACTAAAGTTTTACTTTTAATCAGTATATATGATTGCAATAGGGAAGAGTCCGGTGTAAACTGAACTCAACTTTGATTTGTACAGATGTAACCTGGCATTTAAAATGTAGGTGTTGGGAAGGGGAGGCGCAGGGGCACAGTTTTAATTTGAAAAATTACAAAAGTTGAGAGAAAGGGTAGTATCTGGTGCTTATCAGTTAGGCCCATACCCTCCTTAGAGGCTATGAGACAGGGGCTCTATCTTCATTTATTGGTGGGAACAAACAGTAAAGTCTTTTGTCAGCCTTGGGTTTTCTCAGGGAGGCACTTTAAAGGTAGCTAGGGTCATCCTAAGGATGCAGCTTTGAGCTGTTAGAAAATGTCAGTGTTTTGTTCAAGTCTTAATAAGCCAACGTTGAGGCCTGTCTAGTTGAGAAGATTGCTCATGGGAGCCTGGCTGCAGCTTGGTCAAGGAGAAAAACCTTAATATGTGTTTAGTTTACTAGGGAGCCTGCTTTCTTGAACAGCACTCCTTTGAATGAATGTTTTATCACTCTTCGTATATGCGGTAACAGTTTTCCTCCATAACCTTTAAAAAAAATCTTTTGGGGTTTCAGTGGCAGTGTTACTTTGAAAGAGCAAGAGTGCAGAATGAGACAGCCTTTGACCCACCTTCCACTTTCCAAGTCCTTTACACTGCCTCTTCACTGAGTATTCTTTCAGTAAACTCTTTCCCAAGGTTTCAGCAGCAGTGAAAGTTTCCAAATATGACACCTATGTCAAGGTCACTAACATGGTCAATTCTAATCAACCAACACATATTCATTGAAGGCCTGTTAGGCTTAACACACTAAGGTGTTGTGGGGATAATGCAGTTTGGAAAAAGGAAAGTAAACGACACGCAGAGTATAGTGCTTTCTTTGTAATTTCTAGATGTAGTGAAAAATGGGGCTTAATCTTCATGTTTTTGTGGTAACTACTAGTGTCTATTTCTTGTATGATTTGCATCTTGTTTTATTAACACCTTCACTGTCCTTTTCTTCTGCTATACTGGCCTCCTTGCTGTTCCTCAAACATGCCAGGTGTTTTCCTTACCTAGAAAGCTCTTTCTCCAGGTATTTGTCTGATCCACTCCCTCACTTCCTGCAAGATTTTGCTCAAATGCTGTCTTGCTCAATGAGACCTATCAGGACCATCCTATTTAAAATTGCAACCCATTCCTCATTCCTCTTACCCCACTCATTAGAATAAATAATTAATAGAATAAATAAATAATTAGAATAAATAAGTAAATTATTTATTCTAATGATGTTTTCCTCCAGTAGAATGTCAGCTTCATTAAAATAAATATTTCTAAAAAATCTGTTTTGTGTACTGACTTTTCTCAAGCACCTAGAACATTGTCTGCCACTAGGAACTCAAAAAATATTTGTCCATTGAATGCTGACAAAAACTGAGGATTGATGGATGTGGGGGGGGAGGGGGGATGGGCATGGAGGAGGGCACTTTGGGGATGAGCACTGAGTGTTATGTGGAAATTAATTTGACAATAAACTATTTGTAAAAAATAAATAAATAAATAAATAAAAGCATTTCAGGCAAAAAAAAAAAAAAGAAAGACTCAAATGAAAAAAAAAATATTTGTCCAATGAATGAATGCTCTTTGCACTGGATTTTACACTCCCTTTTTCCAAATTCTATCTTTCTTTCTATTCAATTTATTTTCCTTCCATCCATACTGTTCTTCATATCCATATACTGGGTTTTTGTCTCGTTTTCTTTTTTGAAGGGGAGGGGAGGAGTGGAGGTGGTGTAATTTTAATTACAGATGGGATCTTATAAACCCATCACTCAGCCACTAGTTTCTCTCACCTATTTAAAATTTTTTTAAATGTTTATTTATTTTTGAGAGAGAGACAGAGACAGAGAGAGAGAGAGAGAGTCAGCGGGAGACGGGCAGAGAGAGACACACTGAATCTGAAGCAGGCTCCAGGCTCCTTGCTGTCAGCACAGAGTCCCAGGCTGGCTCCAACCCACAAAATGAACGCAAAGATCATAACCTGAGCCAAAGACTAACTCTTAACGGACTGAGCCATCCAAGCGTCCGGATCCTACATTCTTTTTAATGCTTGCATAATGTTCCATCGTGTCTATGGGCACATTACTTTTATTCATGTCTGTAATTACTTTTCACCTTGGACCATCCCCCATTCCTGGTCTCCCTCACTTTCCCTTTCACCTACCACTGTTTACCCATTCATTTTATGCTTATTCCCAACAGTCCCCGAAACTCAGTGATCACTCAGTAAGCATTTATTGCTCCACAGTTGTGTCCTTGACAGCGATTTGCTTTGTGCATTCTTTGATAGGGAGAGATTGAAGGGCCAGAAGAGGGCAGTAGTGAGGAAGTAAGGTGCTTCACCTGAATAGATGGGGAGTCAGGCGGCGAGCTGGGGTGAGCCTCTGCCCCTGGCGCCTTTGTTTTGTGCCTGAAGCAGAGTGAGTTTCGGAGGGGCAAGGCCGGCTTGGGGCCCGTGCGGACCACGCTTAGAAGGTCCTGGAGCTACACGCAGAACTTGGTTGCGGGAGCCGGCGCCGGCTAGAGGCGGACTTGGGCGGGGCTCGGAGGGGCGAGGCCGGCCGGGGGCGGGGCGTGCAGAGCGCGCAGACTCACAAGCAGCCGGCCGAAGGTGGAGCGCTCGGGGTGGACTGCTGCCCTCCGGTCGCCATGGGGTGCACGGCTGGGCAGCTCGGCTCGTCGCTTCTGGGGCTGTGGCTGCTGCTATGCAGCTGGGGGTGCCCTGGGAGCGCCGAGCTGCGGGCCCCGCCGGATAAGATCGGTAGGTGAGGGTTGAGGCAGCGCGGGAGGGGTGCTGGAGCGCGCCCCGCGCCGGGGGTCCGCTGCGCAGTCCACCAGGCCCCGCGGTTGCGACGCCCGCCAGGCCACGCGCGCCAGTCCTCTGCAGGTCCCAGTCTTCTCAGTTCGCGACTCAGGGCCACTGCCGATTCCCCAGGGACCGCGTATTCCTGGGCGTGTGGATGTGCCAAGCTGGGGAATGGGCAGGGAGTGGATGGGGGATTGCGGTGGGCGGCCAGGCGTCCCTGCAGCCCCTTGTTCCGGAGGCCTGGGGAGGCCGAGGTCCCTCTCTTCCTTCCCTTGCTTCACTTTTGGGAGGCCATTCTTCTGGTTTGTTCTGAAGCTACGGGAGGCCTCGCTCTACAGATGACAGGCGCACGCGGTCATAGCACACTGAGCAGTGCAAACAAGTTGACCTTGTTTGCTTCCCTTGCTACGCTGAACTGGAACCCCATTTCCATCATCCGCTTTGCTGAGGTGGGCCTTCTCCTGGGCCCTTGCACAATTTCCCTACCCAGGAGTACTACACAGTGGCAATAACCCACTCTCAAGTTTCAGTCTTGGTTTTTGCTGCGTTTATTTTGCCTTTTTTATTCCCAGTAAAGCTTTGTTTTGTGGGAACATTAACCTATCTATATTAATGAGACAGAACAAATCTTAGTAAAAATGGCGGCCACTTTATTGGAAATGCGTGCTGGAAAGGCCCACCTCCTCTGTCCCCATGCTTTGGGCACAAAGAACGTTGTGCAGATCCAGTGGTGCCTTGACAACTGTGAGAACCTTTGCGGATCTGGCCAAAAAAAAAAAAAAAAAAGTATCAACTTGCACGTGAATGAATTACCACTCTTGGGGTGGGGGGTAGTGTCTGTTTAGATTCAGAGAGTTCTAGCTTCACAGCTACTGTGACTTGCCTCTCCTTCCCAGCTTCCCTAAATTGATGATTGTAGCCTTAAGTAACATCTGTTATTCAAAAACAAAACCCACATAGCTGGGTGAGAGGGAAAGAAACTGTTCCTTTTTTTATTTTTCCCCCCCACCCACAGCAATTATTGGAGCTGGAATTGGTGGCACTTCAGCAGCCTACTATCTGCGGCAGAAATTTGGGAAGGATGTGAAGATTGACCTGTTTGAAAGAGGAGAGGTGGGGGGCCGTCTGGCCACCATGACTGTGCGAGGGCAAGAATACGAGGCAGGCGGTTCTGTCATCCATCCTTTAAATCTGCACATGAAGCGTTTTGTCAAGGACCTGGGTATGTCATTTGGTCTTGGAGCTAAGTGGATTTCTGTATGACCATCCATAGATATTTTTATCAGACAGGGATCTGAAGTTTTTCTGCTTTAATTGCCTTTTATAGAGAAGTTGGCAAAACTGTTTTCCTCACTTTGCTGCTAGCAATTACTACAAGCTTAGTTAGGAGCCACTTTTGCAGTAATGGGATACTAGTTATCTGTATCTTCAGTTATCTGGAATTACAGCCATGGGGCAGGGGTTGGGGGGGGGTTTAGTTGCTGTTCCTAGTTCTTTTTTTTTTTTTTAATTTTATTTATTTCTAGGAGAGGGAGAGAGAGAGAGAGACAGCGCGAGCAGGGGAGGGCCAGAGAGAGAGGGAGACATAGACTCCGAAACAGGCTCCAGGCTCCGAGCTGGCAGTCAGCACAGAGCCCGACGCGGGGCTCGAACCCATGAACCGCGAGATCACGACCTAAGCAAAAGTCGGACGCTTAACCGACTAAGCCACCCAGGCGCCCCTGCTGTTCCTAGTTCTTAAACCTCTGGGTTCAAGCTGAAGAATCAAAGAATAGTTTGAGTCAGCAGAAACCTTGTGTACTCATTTTACAGCTGGGAAGGTGAGGCCCAGAGTGTGAAGTGTCTGGCTTAAAGTCACTCACACAGGTATGGGTGCAGACATGTGCCTAGAACCTGGGACATCTGACTGCTTCCCTGCCAGCAGAGGAGCTAGACAGGGTGTGAGGGAAGGCTGGCAGGCCTCTGCAGGCCCTTTGCTCAGGGACTATTGTGTAATACACGCCTCCTTTTAGTTATTTGAAATACCCAATTATGCAAAATGGGATTTACACAGGAATGGGGATGCCTCCTTTCCCTTTGCTACCTTCCACATCTCTTGTCGACGCTTCTTGGGTCTCTCTTTCCTTCCTGAGGGCACATGTATGCTAGGAGCAATTTATGCCGCACATACTCATGTCTGACATTTCTGTTTTAAAGTTGAATTCAGTTAGTATTCTGGCATTTTCCTTTTAATTTTTAGTCTTTTCCAACTGAAAAGAGCCAGTCTAATTTTGACATATCTGCATGAGCATCTGACCCATCCTTTAGACATTTGCTTTTGGACAGTTTAATGAATGAACAGTGCTGTTCTAAAGATAGAGCTCCTGTAATATGTTTCCTGAGAACTGGGGAAACCTGAATTCACTCACTTCAGAGTATCCCCGTTAGCTTCAGATTACCTTCTTTCGTTTGAACAACACAGAAACCACTGACTTAGCTAACCTTTTCTGTTTTTGCAGGTCTCTCTACTGTGCAGGGCTTTGGTGGCCTAATGGGGGTGTATAACGGAGAGACTCTGGTGTTTGAGGAGAGCAGCTGGTTTATAATTAACATGATTAAACTAATTTGGCAGTATGGATTTCAGTCCCTCCGAATGCACATGTGGGTAGAGGATATATTGGACAAGTTTATGAGGTAATTTTTTTCCCTTCCATTTAACCTAAGACCTTTTAGTTAGTCTTTAGAAATTTTATTCTTGAAACAGTTCTCTACCAAATTTTAATTTTTTAAAATGTTTTATTTATTTCTGAGAGAGACAGTATGTGAGCAGGGGAGGGTCAGAGAGAGAGGGAGATACAGAATCTGAAGCAGGCTCCAGGTTCTGAGCTAGCTGTCAGCACAGAGCCCAACACGGGGCTCGAACCCACGAACCGTGAGACCTCGACCTGAGCTGAAGTCAGACGCTTAACCGACTGAGCCACCCAGGCGCCCCTCTACCTAATTTAAAGGGCTGTTTGCTTTGAATTCATATGACATCTCTCTCAGGTACAGTTATTAGCTTCTTACAGGTACGGAAAGTGGAGGCATAGAGGTTTCAAGTGTGCAAGTATACTCCGTTCATGAGTGGTGGAAATGGAGTTCCCAACCAGGTATTCTGGCTCTGGAGTTCTCACTCTTAATCTGCACTGTGCTGATATTGTATAGATGAATGAGGTAATGTGTGTAAGAGCTGGTAGAAAGGACCATAAAACTTCAACGAGCTTTAATTGTGACATGTTTCAGTGAGCCAGTAAGTAGCCTGAGGAAGAGTATCAGTTCTGTGCCCCAAGAATTTAAATTGATACTAAATTCCAGCACTGTTTTAGGTAGTGTACAGGTGCCACTTTTTCCTTTATTTGAAAAAATTTAAAAAAAAATTTTTTAAAAAATGTATTTCTGAGAGAGCGACAACGTGATCAGGGAGGGTCAGAGAGAGAGGGAGATACAGAATCTGAAGCAGGCTCCATGTGAGCTGTCAGCAGCAGAGCTTGACGCAGGGCTCAAACCCACAAACCGTGAGATCATGACCTGAGCCAAAGTCGGACGCTTAACCGACTAAGCCACCCAGGCACCCTGGGATTTCTCTTTCTAAACATCATTGTTAGGTCAATTTCTTGAATACCTTTTCAGTGTGCACATTAAGGTCAGCTACAGTACAGATTATTTTAAAGTAGTAATCATTCATTTATTCATTCACTAAATACTGACTGCCTAAGTATGTGCCAGGCACTATTCTGGGTCCTGAGGATGTAGAACCTAGAACACATCCCTGTCCTCAAATAATATACATTCTAGTAGAGAGATAAGCAATTCACCAGTAACTAAGAAAATATACAGAATTTGGGTGGAAATAGCCAGTCACTGTAGAGAAGGTTGGTGGCATGTTGCTGCATGCTCTGCAGGAAAATCAAGTTCAGATGGCATCAGATGCAGACCTGCCTAGATCATCAGTTTTGTTTTGTTTTTTTTACCAGCAGCTTGCTTGGCATGTAAAAAATTGCCCTGTGAGAAATGAACAAATCACTTTTAAAGTGAATTCTGGATATTACAGTACTGTGAAGATCCAGTGATGGAATACATAGATTATACTTTTTTGCTCTTGTTTAAGTAAACTCTACACCCAGTGTGGGGGGCCCTAACTCATGACCCCAGAGATCAAGAGTTCTATCATTTAGGGACTGAGCCAGCCAGGCACCGCTACTATTTTTGAAATTAGAAAACAATTGCCAAACTTCATTGAATTACTGCAACTTCATTGAATTACTGCCTCCCTCTGGTCTTTAGTATTTGCTTATATAGCACTGATCCTTATGTTGTTCAAAGGGCCATGTGTCCTACCTTTTGCTTCTTTCAATAAATCAAGAGCATAATGTTATTTTTTTGAGAAAAGGAGAACACAGAGCCCAATGTGGGCCTCCATCTCAGACGGTGAGATTGTGACCTGAGTGGAAATCAAGACTCAGATGCTTAATGGACTGAGCCACCCAGGTGCCTCTTAACATTTCTTGATCTGAGACGGATCCTTTTAGTTACTCCTAACAAATATTTTGAATCATGTTTTACTTTTTTCTCTCTCTCCTTTCCCAAATCTGGTCTGTCTTTAATCCTATCAGTTTATTTTATTTAAAAAAAGTTTTTATAATGTTTATTTTTTGAGAGAGAGAGCCTGCAAGTGGGGGAGGGGCAGAGAGAGGAGGATAGAGGATCCAAAGTGGGCTCTGTGCTGACAGTAGAGAGCCCAGTGTGGGGCTCGAACCCATGAACTGCGAGATCATGACCCGAGTCAGATGCTCAATGGACTGAGCCACCCAAGTGCCACAGGCCTATTGCTTGTAAAATGTATGTAGAATTCCACCACTTCTCATTACCGTCACTGCTACACTTTGATGCAAGGCACTAATTAACTCTTGTCTGTATTGATGGAGTAGCCCCTTGTGTAGGCTGAATAATGCCTCCCTGCCCCTGCAAGATGTCTATACCCTAATCTGTGGAATCTGTGAATGTGTTACCCTTCATGATAAAAGGGACTTTGCAGAAATGATTACGTTAGGGATCTTGAAATGGGGAGTTTATTCTCACTTAGGTGGGCCCAGTGTAATCACAAGAGTCCTTAGAAGAGGGAAGCAGGAGGATCAGAGAGAGTAGTAGGAAATGTGATGATGGGAACAAGAGGTTGGAATGATGCTAGGAAGGTGCCATGAGCCAAGGAATGCAGGTGGTTTATAGAAACGGAAAAAGGCAAGAAAATGGATTCTTTCCTCAGAGCTTCCAAAAGGAACTAGCCTTACCAACACTTGACCCATACTTTTTGGCCTCCATGTTTTCTGATGAGTAGTCAATTGTTAAATCTTATTGAGAATTCCCTGTCAGTCTATTTTCGCAAGTGAGAACTTAGTGTTTTCGTACTCTACTTTTTTTCAAGTTCCTAGGGATTGATATGGTTGGAAGTGATTTTAGTTTCTCAGTTTGGGCACTGGTATCAATTTTTCCCACAAAAATGTATTCAATGTTTTGTATACTACACTCACTGTGAGACAGTAGGGTAATACTGAAACGGATATGACATTGTCCCTGCTCAAGGACTTTACAACTTTGAGAAGAAAATTGTAAAAATTCTCCTCCTGGGATCACTGATAGAGATCTTTCTTTGGCACTTATTTATTCCTTTGTTTCATTAATCTGTGAATGGCCTATTACCTGTACCTAACTGTAAGCTCCTTGGGGGAGATGAATCCTGTCTTTCACATTTTTGTATCACTTGCAACTTGAAAAATTATTTTGAATTTATGTGGATATTCTTTTAAGTCTATGAGGTTCAGGAAAATATCAGTTGGTATTTTATAAAAATTAATAGTGTTGATTGAATGGCATGGGTACTGTGGACTGGGGAGTTGGGCAAAACTTGCAGAAGAGGTGGGGTTCAAGCTGAAAGAAGTGTGTTCTATTTGGAGAGAAGAGCTAATGCAATGTTGGGGAGCAAACTGCAGAGCATACTGATATCAGTGAATGGGTCAGTGGAGGGAAGAGTGTTTATATGGTTTGAGGGCAGAGGGGGCAGCATGTGATTGAGCCTTCTACTTGTCATGAGACTTTTGGATGGGTTCTTTTACTTCTCTATCTGCAGTTAAAGCAGAGGAGTTAGACTTGATAAATCTGGTTCTAAAATCCATCCCCCCCCTCTTTTTAATGTCAGGAGTTTATTTACTAAGCAGCAGTAATAAGTTAAAAAAAATTTTTAAAATATGAGAGAGAGAGAGACAGAGTGCAAGCAGGGGAGGAACAGAGAGGGAGACACAGAATCCGAGCAGGCTCCAGGCTCTGAGCTGTCAGCAGGGCCCAAAGCGAGGCTCAAACCCACAAACTGCAAGTTCGTGACCTGAGCTGAAGTGGGATGCTTAACTGACTGAGCCACCTAGGCGCCCCATAAGTTGTTTTTTGAATAAGCTGATGACAAAAGATGTATTTTAGGTTTCTGGGAGATTCATAAATGTTTCAAAGAAAAAACTGGAAGCAGGTAGGTAGATCAGTTATTCATCTTAGTAGTCTGAATATAAATCATGAGTTAAGATCAGAGAAATGAGAATGAAATAAGAGAGATGTTGTGAAGACTGGTAAGGTTTTCTTCTTTGGTGTTACAGCAGAAGTGAAAATATCTAAATTTGAAATTAAATGAATTGAGGATGACATGTAGAATGTTAGGAGTGAACTAATATCCCAACCTACATTTTGGCAGGGATAAGGGGTGGGTAGAGAGGGTCAGGCCTGGTGGAAAGATAAAGTTTAATTTTAGAGGGGTGCCTGGGTGGCTTAGTCAGTTGAGCGTCCGACTTTCGCTTAGGTCATGAACTCACTCTTCGTGGGTTCGAGCCCCGCATCGGGCTCTGTACTGACTGCCAGCTCAGAGCCTGGAGCCTGTTTCAGTCTGTGACTCCCTCTCTCTCTGACCCTCCCCTGCTCACGCTGTGTCTCTTTCTCTCTCTCTCCTAGAAATAAATAAAACATTAAAAAAACAAAACAAAAAGTTTAATTTTAGAAATGTCTAACTGCTGCTGGAAAAAAAAAAAAAAAGCTGAAGGAGACTATGACATACCCACTTTTTTTAAAGGTGCTCCCACAGTGACCTTATTAGTGCAGAAGAGTATACAAGGACAGTGTACTCCCAGAGGAGGTCGGGGTGGGGATAAGAACTTCTGGGATACCCAGGGAAGATGGTGACTGAGGTGCATCTTACATGACAGGTAAATTCATTAGAAGGATATATGAAAAGTTTGAATCTTAGGATGCTATTTCCCTTCCCCCTATCTTGTTTAATGGCCATTCCTCTTCTTTTTCAAAGGATCTACCGCTACCAATCTCATGATTACGCCTTCAGTAGCGTAGAAAAGTTACTACATTCTCTAGGAGGGGAAGAATTCCTTGGAATGCTTAACCGAACACTTCTTGAAACCTTGCAGAAGGCAGGCTTCTCTGAGAAATTCCTCAATGAAATTGTTGCTCCTGTCATGAGGGTCAATTATGGCCAAAGCATGAACATCAATGGCTTTGTGGGTAAGCCCAAGCTTGGAATGTTATGGATATTAGTTCACAGAAGGCCTTACCTGATGTATGGTGGCTCCTTACTTTAGGCTGTGAGTTGGAGAAGACTTACCTTTCTCTGAAACCTCATACATTGTTGGCAAAATTGTATATATGTAGATCTGTGCATTTTTAGGGGGAGAGAGTCCTTAGCCTTCATTGAGATTTTGCCCCCAGGGGCTATTTGGCAATGTCTGGAGACATTTGGAGTAGAACTCACCTGAATTGGGAAGAGAAAGTAGGTAGAGGGCCTTTTATAGAGTCAGAATTAAAATACATTTTTTCCTACCACTGACAGGGGCAGTATCAATGGCTGGTGCAGATTCTGGCCTTTGGGCAGTAGAAGGTGGTAATAAGCTTGTTTGCTCAGGGCTCCTTCAGGCGTCGAAAAGCAACCTTATAACTGGCTCAGTAATGTACATAGAGGAGAAAACAAGGACCAAGCGGACAGGTGAGCCTGAAATTCTATTTTATTGTTCCTAATTTCCCCTCTAGGAAATAATTGCTCAGGGAGAAAAACCACTCTTCTGTCATCTCTCACTCAGTTCCAAATGATGGAATTATAAATTGTTTATGTTGTGCCACATAGAAATATTCCCAAATGAGCTGAAGTACAGTGGCGTGTCTCTTTGGACTTAAAAAATAATCTTTCTTAAAAGGAAAAATTCCTTATTTTGTACTTGACAGGGTATTCAAGGGTCAGATGCTTAACCAACTGAACCACCCCTGTGCTCCTAAGTCTTTAATTCCTTAAAATTATACCTTAACTATTTTCTACCTTATAAACGATTAAGGTAATATAATTATTTTTGGAAGGTATAAAGTAGTCTGTTAGAAAGACTAACATGAATGCTTCTTTCCTCTAGGAAATCCCACAAAGATTTATGAAGTGGTTTACCAAATTGGATCTGAGACACGTTCAGACTTCTATGATATCATCTTGGTGGCCACTCCATTGAATCGAAAAATGTCCAACATAACTTTCCTCAACTTTGATCCTCCAATTGAGGAATTCCATCAGTACTACCAACATATAGTGACAACGTTAATTAAGGGGCAATTGAATTCAACTCTTTTTAGCTCTAGAGCCTTAGACAAATTTGATCTCAGTACAATCTTAACCACTGATAATTCAGATTTGTTCATTAATAGCATTGGGATTGTGTCCTCTGTAACAGAAAATAATCCTCAACCATCAACAGAAAGGGCACATGTTTGGAAGATATTTTCTCAAGAAATTCTCACTAAAGAACAAATATTGAAGCTCTTTTTATCCTATGATTATGCTGTGAAGCAGCCATGGCTCGCATATCCTCACTATAAGCCTCCAGAGAAATGCCCCTCCATCATACTCCACGATAGACTTTACTACCTCAATGGCATAGAGTGTGCAGCAAGTGCCATGGAGATGAGTGCCATTGCAGCCCACAATGCCGCTCTCCTTGCTTATCATCGCTGGAATGGGCACACGGACATGATTGACCAAGAGGGCTTATATGAGAAACTTAAAACTGAACTATGAAATAATACTGATCACTTTCTTTTCCCCCTCCTGGTTCCAAATGGAATATCACTGGCAAAAAAGAACACAATCTGAGCAGAGATGATTTTGAATCGGATATTTTGCCATGTATTAGTGTTATTTAACAAAAGTAATCCCAGTGAGTTGTGAGAAAATACAGGTTTCTAATTAAGCATGAAGGGGTTAACTACTGTATATACTATCTCCAAAATTTAACTCTTCTTTTAATATCTGCCAACAGTTTAGAATCACCTTGAGTCTGTTAAGCATGTGGATTCTCTAGCTCCTCTGCAGATTCTGATTCACTAGGTCTGGTGGGTGGGGGCCCTGAATTTATTTTAAGCTGAGCACTTAAGAAAGCATTTAAAGACGTAACTTTTAGTTGGGGACTAGTTTATTTGTGCTTCACAGGTGGAAGTGACCTTCAGTCAGAAAGTTAAAACAACTATTGGAGTTGGTACCCTATGCTTGGCTTTAATTACCTTTTTTTCAAAGTAGATGTGCCCATGCCAGAAGCCTTGACTTTCTGAATATTCTTTTGATCCCTTCTGTCCTGATTTTTATTAGGGGTTAAATTCAGAAACCTTAGTAGTAGTATAACTTTGTCATACAAAAAATCTCAAATAAATTGAAAACAAATATAGGCTATTGATTTAGGAAATTGGCATTCTATTATCAAATCCTCACCTATGGAACTTTAAAAAATATTGAAAGACCCCCATGCAACCAGAGATTCTGATCTAATGAAGACTGGATCTCAGCATTGTAGCTAAAAAGTTCCTAAGTGGCAACCTGGGTTGAGAATCACTGATAATGGTTTAAGAGGTCTCCAAAGGGTTTTTAGTGCCTTAAAAGTCCCTAGAAACTGAATGCATTATCAAAGCAGGTTCATTTCGTGAATAATTTCTCTCAATAAGAACTCTAGTAGTAATCTTGATAATAGCATTGACAGTCTGACAAGAGGCAGAGCAGTTGACACTAGAGTAGGAGATTCAGAATGACATTACAGTTGATCAAATCCAGTATATGTTCAAATGGTTAAATGCTTCTAAAACTACTGGAGCATTTGGGGTGAGGAACCAATTGTTGAAATCTTGTCTTTAAGGCAGTAGTTCTCAACTTTGGCTGCATACTGGAATACATCTATAAGACTTTAAAGCTTCTCAAATTCTACTATGCAACCCAACTTAAGAACCAGTTCTACATCTATTATACAAAGATCACAAATAGCTGTTCTATAGTCACTACAGCAGGACAGAACAAGTAAAAGCTTGTGAATTCTAAAAGTAACTATAACAGAGCTAACATATACTGTTGAGAAAAAAGTCCATCACCAGATTATGGCAGTAGCTACTTCAGCAAAATGGTATTGATTCTTTCTTAAAATGATTTTTTCTCTACTATAATTGTGAATATTAATATGCTGATAAAACTGCCAAGATATATTTGATGTAAAGGCAGTGATTAAACTTATGGTTTGTCAAAGGGTCAGCTTTTTAAAAATTTTATTCTTAAATGAGCATGTTAAGAGGTAGTCACACTTTTTTTCCCCTTTGTGGTTTTAATGAGGACAATATTGTAGAGAATGTAATATTGTGTTATATATCTATATATGTTGAAGACTGGTGAATAAAAACTGTTAATAGTTAATTTCTATCACTCACAGACCTGTTTTGTGATGTGACATCTGTATTTATTTACCAGAACCACAATTTAAAATGTTGCTGTTGTATCTAAGTTTTCCAAAAGCAACTGCAAATTGCTTCCTCCAAGAGCAAAACATTTTATCAATGTATCAAGCTTAATAGTTTTAATGCAAAAAGCATTAAACAAATTTTTTTTTTTTTTTTTTAAAGAGAAATACTATCAGACCCTGTTACTTCAGTAGACCACCCTATTTGTGTAGAAGAGACTGGTAAATACAGCTCTATTCTAGTGGTTCTCTAACTTGGAATCACCTGGAAGGCTTGTTAAATCACTGATGGGCCTCACCCCAGAATTTGTTTCAATTGGTCTGGAGTAGATGAAAATATGCATTGCTGTGAAGTTCCTGCAGATGCTCCTGGTCTAGGAACCACGCTTAGGAGTACCAGTTCTATAATTTAGCTCCATGTGGTTGCTAAAAATGCCTGTCCACATCAGTGAAGATTTAGAGCTGCCGAAGAATAAAAATGTACTGGACTTGACATCAACTCCCCTTATTGTGATTAAGTTGGTTTGATCACTCTAGCTATTTTGCTGTAAACTTTTTTATAAACAGGAAATAACATTTTAGAGATACATACAAGCCATTGGTTATGTTGTGTTATATAAGCCTCTATGTACTCACCTATATATACCCCATTTTCTACAGTTTTAAAGTGATTTAAGATGTGTCGGCTTTTTACCAGATCACAAAAAGTACAGGCCTAAGCATCTGGTTGGTAGGTTTCTTCAAGTTAGGTTTCTGATACAACCATTTGTAATGCATCTTTTCGTCTGAGTTTGTGCGCCATAAAATTTATGACCTAGATGAATATATTATGGGCAGCATTATTTCTATTCTCTATACAAAGAACCACAATACACTGGAATGTTTTTCTTTAGAGTTCTATTTCTATTCTTGTATTCAAAATTTTTCCCCGTTTATGTTCAAAATAAACAACTGTATTGTTAATCCCTGTGTTTTACTTCAATTGCACTATACTTGGAATGTAGATGTACTTGGAAAAGTCAGAGTACATCAAAACTACTACAAGAGTTTTGAAAATTACAGTTAATGTTTCAGAAGAAATCTGCTCAGGTTTGCAGGTTATCTTTCCATTAAAAGATGAAAAAAAGCCATCCTAGCCATGTGTTTGTTACATTTAATCAAGTTCTTCAATATTAATGCATAAACACTTAAACAATTCAGTCTCAACCAGAAACAGTTCGTGTTAGAAAAACTAGAATAAGAGCTAACATTCAATTTTCCATGTTCACAATGTTTGAGAAAGCATATTTTGACTATTAAAAAAGTTTATTTAACAAAAAAGTTCAATATGAAAATGCACGACCTGATTTTTATACTGTAGTAAAACAGGTACTATGGAGGGGACATGTGGAAGCAGTTGGTTTCTTCAGGTGAACACATCCGTCGTTTATACTCGTTCCAAGGCTTCTAACATGATGATGCTGTTTCCTCGAATTACCTTAAGAACAAAAAAAAGTTTATTTGACATATCGATGAAAGAATTTTCACAAAATCATTAATGGTTTTTCAGTATTAAAGATCAGTTTGTGAGGCTTTTTTCAAGCCACAGGATTATATTAAGTAATTCTTAATTACAAGAAGCTACTAAGCCCTTTGTTAAGTAAGATGTACATTTTTTCTAGATTTATTAAGACTAACAAGTACTCTTTTGAGATGCCAAGTCCCCGTTAGTCATTTCACCTTCTAAACTGCAGTACTCAACATGCTCTTCTCTGTCCCAAGGAATCTGTAAGTCAATGTAGAATATGTCAGTTTAGGGATACAAGATTATTTTGGGAAGAAACCAGGATGGAAGTTGTGAAAAATATGTTCTATGAAGATGGCATTTAGTTGGGTCTTGAAAATGGGGTAGATTTTTGACAGGAAGACAGGAAATTCTAGACAAAACCGAGATGAAAAAGTATAAGGGGATAAGGAAAGAATCTAATTTGGATGCAGTAAAAGGTTATGACAGAAAATGGGAAACAAAAGACAGTTTACACTATTTGAAGAAGACTTCAAACACCGATGTTAAGATAGTTGGAGGACATCATGAAACCATACAGTAAGAGTGAAAGTTTCACAGCTGAGGGAATAACCACTGTTCTGGCAATAAAAGAATGGGAGCTTAGAAGTTATAAAGAACACAGCGCTTAACACAGTAGTCATTCCGCAAATGAAGATAAGGAAGGATACTTAGGAGCATAGGTGAAATGACCAGTAACAGTTCAAGAGAGTTACAATAATACAAGGGGTAGAAAAATATGTTAATCTAGAAGGCAAGGAGACTTTGAAGATAAGGAGCCCCTGGTGGATTGTAGATCACACTGCAATCACAGATCAGGTCCACTAGAGCTGGAAAGGTGAAAAGACAGGACGGGGATGAGAGGAAGCATTCTGATTAAGATTCAAAGTGGAACTATGCTTGGAGGCAGTTGAAATAAAAATAGCTATAACTTGTTTTCTCCCCTCATTCTATTTATCACATGCATTGTTATTATCTTCCTCATGAAAATGTCATTTCTTTTCAAAAATTTTTTCTAATGTTTATTGGGGGGGGGGGGGGGGCGGAGAGAGGGAAAACAGGGGAGGGGCAGACACAGAGAGAGGGAGACGATCTGAAACAGGCTCCAAGTTCCCAGCTGTCAGCCCAGAGTGCGACGTGGGGCTTGAACCCACAAACTGCTAAGATCATGATCTGAGCCAAAGTTGGACACTTAACCAACTGACCTACCCAGGTGCCCCAAAAATGTCATTTCTATGAGGGCAGCAGCAGGATCCCCAGTGCCTAAAGTGATGGCAGGCACAGAGAGGGCTCAATAAGTCCCTGTTAAGTAAATCTGTGTGTGGTACTGTAGCTGACAGATCAGAAAGGAACAGTGTCTTGGAGCCTGGCAGACACAAACGGCAATAATGATGAGAAGGTGGCAAAGAAATAAAGAGCAGCATGAAAAGAGAACAATGTCCTGAAAATAGGAACTAAAGGAGCCTAAACACTTTTATTCTTCCTCTAAGTTCCCCCTAATCCTCCTATATGTGCAAACATATGGTATTTGTCCTTCTCTGCCTGACTTATTTCGCTCAGCATAACACCCTCAAGGTTCATCCATGTTGCTACACATGGCCAGATTCCATTCTTTCTCATTGCCATGTAGTATTCCATTGTAATAGTAGGATCAGTAGGAACTCTTGAACTATGCAGCATCTTAGTATAGAATTTTTACTACATTCTTAGAGGAACTCTGAGGGTAGAGTGGAATCTTAAAGGAAGACAGAAGTGAGGCCACTAACAATTCTGGAGATATCTCAGAAGAGGCTAGTTTAGACATCATTAGGTAATTATCTAGTTGACAAACATATAAAAATTACCTCTCCTTCAGAACACATTTTTTTTTAAAGTTTATTTTGAGAGAAAGAGAGAAAGAGCAAAGAAAGGCAGAGAGAAGGAAAGACACAATCCCAAGCAGGCTCTGCGTGGTCAGTACAGAGACTGACGTGGGCTCAAACCCATGAACTGTGAAATCATGACCTGAACTGAAATCAGGAGTCGGACATTTAACTGACTGAGCCACTCAGGTGCCCTGAACGCATACATTCTTAATACTACTCTAAATATAATAGTATGAAGTAAATTCAATGGTCATGGACTTAGACAAGGGAATAACAAAGCCAATGTTTGGCTTTGCCAAACCACCTGTGAAAACAAAACTGTAACCTATTTGTTTCCCTTCTTTCAGCCTCAGAAAAGCCACCCTTGCACTTCTTTAGAATGTCTTTTTATTAAGGACAATTGATAGGTTATCATTGTTTCATTTCCAAAGTGCTAACTCCGCTGCAAGAATTATTGCCTACTAACACAAACTTTTTTTGGTCATACAACAAGCATCAGAGGTGGAAGAGCTGATTGCCTAACACAGTGTAGGTACTCACTACCTAAACGACTTTGATATGGCACTGCTTTTAACCAATTTCTGTGTAACAATTAAGTCCATCAAAATTTAGGGGGAAAATTTTGAGAAAGATGCATGATCCTGGTTCAATTCCTTCTCTGATAAAATTCCAAGAAGTGTCACACAATTCTCTGAAACCTTGTCTTCCCTAATAAGAATAGACTTGAATAAAGATTTCTGAATTTGTACGAGGAAGGGGTAGAGAAAAATCTTGGGAGTATTTAAGAACTATTTTCAGATGGGGTACCTGGGTGGCTCAGTCAGTTAAGCACATGACTTCGGCTCAGGTCATGATCTCACGGTCTATGAGTGAAGAGCCCCAACATCAGGCTCTGTGCTGACAGCTCAGAGCCTGAATCCTGCTTCAGAGTCTGTGTCTCCCCCTCTCTCTGCCCCTTCCCTGTTCACACTGTCTCTTTCTGTCTCTCAAAAAAAAGAAAAAAAAGAATGTAAAAACAAAAATAAAACCCCACCCCCCCAAAATGCCTGTTTTTAGAAGAAACTGGGTGCTAATGATTTATCCAGTTTCACTCATTTACGAGTTCAAGGAAAATGCACCTTAAATGGAAGGTCAATTTGCATAAAACTTGGAGAGGGAAGGGAGTCTCCTATGTAGAAATGGACTCTATGCTGTTTTTCCAGCCCTGACCATCGATTTGCTTTTCAAATGGCAAAGCATTTGCAAGAAGCACTAACATACACCTTGGAAAGAATGATTAAAAATCATGAGGCATGGGGCACTTGAGTGGCTTAGCAGCAGTGTGGAGTCTGGTTGGGTTTCTCTCTCTGCCTCTTCCCTGCTCTGGTGCGCCCATGAGCTCTCTCTCAAAACAAACTTAAAAATAAAAGCAAGGCTAACAATTAGGAACTTTTACCACCTTTTAGAGATCTTTATGCTCAGTAATTTGCTAAAGCAGGAGTTGTCCTTTTTAATTTACTTTTCCCAAGAAACTTGGTACTTACCACTTATTGGGTATATTGTCCTGTGCTGGACAAAGAGTGGAGTTCAAAGTCTGAGTCTTGTTGACAAACATCAAAAACTTTTTCAGTAGTCATACCATCATGGCCTAATGAATATAGAATTGTTTGCTCCTATAATTGTTTCTGGGTTTTTTCCTATTTTCTTTCACATGAATGGCTGTCACTGTGATCATCCCTTTCAACGTTTACCTTAGCCACTTTTTATTTTTAAA